GCAGTTTATGCTTAAGTTTATGTCTGTGTTGTGTTGTGTTTATGTTAGACGTGCACTAATAATACTCTAGTACGCGTCCAATACAGTTATGTCTGGGATCCGGGGAGGATACTGTGACAAACTTAAACTAAATTGAACACTTTTTAAAGTTAAACATAGTTAAATAAATAATTAATATAATTGTCGCGTACAGCTATCCGTCTACATATATCCTTCTGCTGTGCTAGCTAGGAGGTTGACCTTTTAGCAAACGCAACAGTTATAAGCCTAGTTTGCGGCGTAGTGTAGATGGTTAGCGCACAAAAATTTTCGCATCTCTGCTCTCCCTACTCCACTAGTAGGATTGCATTATCCCGGAGCACTGCGTGTTTAATTCCTACGCTTAGTAAAGAGCATTTAGGCAGTGTGTCTATTACAGAGGCTACCTTACTAGATCTGTCTCTAAGTTCTGTTGCTTAGGTGAAAGAGGAAGGGTGTGTTAAGGTTGTTTTACTATGTTTCACCTCTCTCGTTCCACAGTTCAAGCTGGGGGGTGTGTCGCGTACAGCTATCCGTCTACATATATCCTTCTGCTGTGCTAGCTGGGAGGTTAACCTTTTAGCAAACGCAACAATAATATTATTAATAAAGCTACTACTAGTAAAAGTAAGTTTTCTAATATAATATAACAGTATAAGTAAGATAATAGGTTTAAATGTAGTAGAAATTTACTTAAAGGCATATAAAAGTGTAGAGACTTTAGACTTAAAAATGCTATTAACACTTATAGGCCTTATATAAAAGAATATTAGAAAACTACTAAGCTAGCTACAGAGGCAAATGTTACAATCCTTGCTCTAACAAAATAGTGTTTTCGGGAGCACAACAGCCTGTAGTTGTGTTAGCGGGTAGGGGAAGGACTTAGCTGGATCAGGTGTACAGTCCGTCAAGCAGAGTATATGTAAGGCAGGGGTAAAGAAGGCAGGTTGTGGTTTAGCCTAGCAGCTGTATAGGGAGCTAGCAAACCTAATATAAAAGAATAGGAAAGAAGGTATATATAGTGTAAGATATATAAGGCGGCAATTGTTCTTTTTTATAAAGGTACTATTGCCTCTTAGTCTATTAGGTAGGTAAAGACTAAATAGTAATTACAACCTTCTAACTATAGTTGTGATTAAGACTATATACATAGGGTTTGCATGCAGTGCATGCTATGCATGCTTGCATGCCTGTTGCCTGCATAGCCTGCATAACCTGCAGACCTGCAAAGCCTGTGGTCTTATTAGATGATACACTCTGCTAGACCTTTGTCTAAAAGCTAGAGCCATTCCTTATCTGTCCTGTCACGTGATTTGTTTAACACAGGATTAAGCGTTTTCCATCTCTTGTCGCTTAGGCTGTAAGGAACAGCTGATAGGGAAATTACGGTCTGTTTGTTAGCTGTAACAGCAAAGTGCAACTAAATACATAAAGAAATAGGGGTAACTACAAAGGACAGGATTAAGTTATAGTTAGAGCTAATACAGAGACCCTTCAGATAGGTTCTAAGCGACCTAAGATGGAACAATTTGTAAGAATTGTTACACTTTGTAAAACTAATCTATATTAAGTTTAATAGTAAAATGTTAGGCAAAGTTAATAGTATACTTTAAAATAGTAAAAGTATTTTTTCTTTTTATGTTATAAGCTATTAAGAAGGCTACTATAGTCTTAAAAAAGCTTTTTTAAGTGTATTTAAAACCTAAGTTTAGTACTTTTAAGCTAGGTAGTATCTTCTTTTATAAGTAAAAGAACTATTCTTCTTTTAATATAACCTTTTTTATAGTAGTACTAATAGAGTAAGCTTTAAAAGCTAAAAAAGCTTTTTTTTATACTTATTCTTAGTGTTTAAAATACTTATTATGCTTTTATTTTTTATTACTAGTAATAAAGTAAATTTATAAAAGCTTAATTATTTTTTTTATAACGTACTTTACAGGCAAGTTGCTTACACACCTAAGTTGCTTACTTTTGCTAAGACCCCACTCTAACAAACTTTATTATAGCCTATAACAACCTACTCTAGCACTATATAGTATAGTATAGCCTAGAATATTATTTAAATACTACTTCTACTTCTTACTTACACATTTACGTGTTATGCTTAGTCTAATTACACTATTTATAGCACCTTTAAAATAGCTTACTTACTTTAGCCTACACCTGCTTCTTTACTTTTTTTTTATTACTATGTGCTTTAAACTTCTTTAAAGCTATTAAGTATAAGCTTTTTTAAATTATTAAAGTTTTTATTACTTTAATCTACTTTTTTTATATAATTTATGTTATGTAGTAGCTTTATTAGCTACTTAAAGCTTAGTAATTTTTTATTACACTAATACTAGCTTATATATAATTATTACTGCCTTTTTTAAGACCCTTTTAAACACTTTAACTATAAAAGTTAGTAAACTATTTATATACTTTTAAATTTTTATTTTTATAAGTATTAATTATAACTTAAGTTCTAAAGTATTACTTAAGGTTTACAACTACTAGAGCTTATTATATATAAGTAGTAGTAGTAATAAAGTGTGTAACTTTACATTAAGGCTTATTATTACTTATTATAAGTTAAAAAGAACTAATTTAGCACTTTAAAACTTTTCTTAGATATTACTAAAAGTAATTATAGCATTATAAGCTACTTTAAAGCATAGTAAAAACTTTATTTTTATAATATAAGTAATTTAGTTATATATAAAGTTTTTAGCTTAGCACTTATATACTTTTTTTAAAAAAGTAAAACAACCTATATTAAGTAGCTATAAAAAGTGTAATAAGTAAAAAAGTACATAATGTACTTTACAGGTAAGTTACTTACACACCTAAGTTGCTTACTTTTGCTAAGACCCTACTAAACTACTCTTTCTACACTAATGCATTCCCTACAACGCTACTTAGATGTGCTAAAAGAATGTTAGATATAGCTTATACTTTAAGCTTTTAAACAAGACATAAAACTCTTAAAAAAATATGCTATAGCTATGTATAAAGTTTTATAAAAAATAATAAATAACTATAGCACTAAATAACCTTTACAAGCTAATTCTACAGCTAAATTATAAAGGCTAAGTAATAAAAAAGAGTAGGTAATTATTAAGACTATACTTAAGCTATATGCGCAAGGAATTTCCTCTTAAATAGCATTTATAGCTAATATAGCTAATTCTTTACACGCTAAGCATAATCTAAGCTATGTTTACATAAACTAGCCTAGTATATTTATAAAGTGTTATTTAAAGCTTAAAGTAAAGTTTTAAGTGTAAGTATAGTTAAAAAATATCTAGCTAATTATAAATCTTATTTTACTAAAGTTATATATGTTATTATCTTAGATGCTATACTTAGCTTTAATATTCTTTATAAGGCTAAACCTGCTTTAAATTACTTTAAAACTTTTATAAAAAGCTTTTTTATAGTTATACTTATGCTTAAATATTACTTTAAGCTTTAAATAACACTTTATAAACATACTAGGCTAGTTTATGTAAACATAGCCTAGATTATGCTTAGCGCGCAAAGAATTAGCTATATTAGCTATAAATGCTATCTAAGGGGAAATTCCTTACGCATATAGCTTAAGTATAGTCTTAATAATTACCTACTTTCTTTTATTGCCTAGCCTTTATAATTTAGCTGTAGAATTAGCTTATAAAAGTTGTTTAGCGCTATAGTTATTTATTATCTTTTATAAAACTTTATATATAGCTATAGCATATTTTTTTAAAAGTTTTATGTCTTATTTAAAAGCTTAAAGTATAAGCTGTATCTAACATTCTTTTAGTATGTCTAAGTAGTGTTGTAGGGAATATATTAGTATAGAAAGAGTAGTTTAGTAAGGTCTTAGCAAAAGTAAGTAACTTAGGTGTGTAAGCAACTTGCCTGTAAAGTATGTTAAATAGTAATAATTTTATTATTTTTATAGTATTACTAAAAATAAAGTAAGTTATAGCTCTTATAGCTATTAATAACTAGTAAATAGTAGCTACTAATAGTATACTTTTTTATATGTATATTAAAGTGCTTTAACTAGTCTAGACTAAGCTAATTAGTAGTCTAGCTATGCTTAAAAATTATAATAACTTAATTTTAAAGTAAATTTTTTTATACTAGTTTAAAAAGTAGTTGCTACCTTAAAAAATAATAAAAAGTAAAATAGCCTACTTTTTAGCATTAATGCTCTAGATAGCTATTATCTACTTCTAGTTACCTAGCTAGACTGCTTTTAGCTATTCTTATTTTTTTTAAACTTATAATAACTACTTTAGTAAATATTTAGCCTATTATAAACTTTATTTTATTAAAGTTATACATGTTATTATTTTAAATACTATACTTAGCTTTAATATTCTTTATAAAGTTAAACTAGCTTTAAATTACTATAAAAATTTTATAAAAAGCTTTTTTATAGTTATACTTACACTTAAACTTTACTTTAAGCTTTAAGTAATGCTTAATAAATATATTAAGCTAGTTTATGCTAATATAGCTTATATTATGCTTAGCATGTAAAGAATTAGCTATATTAGCTATAGCTACTAGCTAAAAAGAAAATCCTTATGCATTTAGCTTAAGTATGTGCTAAATAATTACCTACTTTTTATTATTATCTAGCTTTTATAAGTTAGCTATATAATTAGCTTAAAAAAGTTATTTAGTGTGTTAGTTACTTATTATTTTTTAAAAGACTTTATAAATAGCTATAGCATGTTACCTAAAAAGTGTTATATTTTATTTAAAAGCTTAAAGTGTAAGCTGCATTTAATATTTTTTTAACACATCTAAGTAGTGTTATTAGAAATGCATTAGTGTAAAAAAAGTAGTGTAGTAAAGTCTTAGTAAAAGTAAGCAACTTAGGTGTGTAAGCAACTTGCCTGTAAAGTATGTTATTCTTAAACTAAAAGTTATTAAACTTAGATAGGTATCTAGGCTCTAGGTATTCCTTTGCAATACTAGCAGTGTGTCCCTATACTAACACTATGTTTGTATACTTACCAAAAGAAACCAACAAAGTAAGCTCTCAGCCTTGCGCGTCGTTCCCGGAGCCCCCAAAACTGACCTGCACCGGCTTCGGTATGGGGACCCGACGCCATGGCAACCGGCCGCCTAGCTGTACTCCAGACACTCCATCAACCAACCAAAATGAACAAACAGCTCGAGCACCACTATTTTAAGCCTTTGTGTAAGGTCGGGTCGGGGAATATACGTCAGATGCTTCGCCGGGTTGGTTTGACCGTCGATCATGATGATCAGGAGGTCCGGAGTCCGATTCCTATATAATAAGTGAGACGGAGAGAAACGAAGAATGTAACATGTTGAGGTAGGCATCGCAGCAATCCGTTTCTTTACATTATCAAGTCCAGTGCATCTTTGCTCTCCTTTGTTTGTTGCATATTTCCCACGGTCTGTATCTTGTCGATTCTTCTAGTACCCAGACATCTGCATCAACTTCCATCACGCCCACTATTTCCCAAGCATCACCACCCCAACGCCGAAAATTCTGCCCTTGTACAGCATCAGCCACCTTCGGCAAAGCGAAGCTCAAAAAACCGCCTCCCCGACCTATACTCCACTACCACACTCGCTCTAAACCCAATCCTAAACGAAAACCCAAATCCTACACTACGCTTACAAAAATGCACTCCCGCATCCTCTGCAAGACCACCGTCCTCGGCCTCCTCGGCTTCTCAACCGCCCAAACCTCCTCAACATGGGGCGAGCCCTTCTCCGTAGATGGTGGGTCCTCATCCCAAAACCTCGTTTCCAGTGCCGCGCCCATCGCATCCTCGGTCCTGTCTTCCGCAGCTTCAATCGCTAGTTCATTCGCCTCAGAGGTCAGTCTTTCCTCTGTCTCTGTTTCTATCTCTGTTTCGATGCCAGGGTCAATGTCGATACCGGGTTTGACCGACAAAACTTTGAGTCCTACATTCTCATCTTCTGTGTATGCGTCTGGATCAGAGAGCGCCGCCTCGAAATCTGCTTCAACCGTGAAATCTTCTGGAGCCTCGACGCTGACGAGTAGCCAGCGTGGGACGACATCTGCTGGAGCTACCAGTAGCGGCGCGGCGGCGATGACGACGGGGATTAGTGCGCTCTCGAGTACAGGTGGTATTATGCCGACCGGAGGTGTGAAGATAGGGTTTGTTGGGGCTTTGGCTGGCGCTGCTGGTGTTCTGTGTCTATGATTGATTGCGTTAGTGGAGATGAACGCCAGAAAGGCGACATCAACGACGAGATGCGATATTTGAGGATATGAGCGAAGCATGATTCTGGCATTGTAACGGAGATATCGAGGTCATCTGGCGAATATTGGGATGGAAGACACAAAGTCGAATTATGCTGGAAATACATCCAATGGTTAGAATCATAATGGTGACATTTATTACACAGAGTAATGATAATGATACACAATAAGCCATATGCACAAACCATATGCACAAACCATTTCAAATCCCTCGACAACTTGACTAATTACTCTTTGAAAGGGGGTATCTCTGCCCAAGAGAACTCGACCTCTCCTCATAGTGCATTTCCTGAGCATCCTAAAATCATCCACTCTAACCACTCGTCCCCTCCCTCTACCTGGGACTTTTTACTTTTTACCTCATACGATCTACTTCCCACTAACCTCCCCACCCTCCAACCTCCCAACTAACCTCTTAACCCCACTCCACTCCTCCCCCCTCCTCTCCAACCCCCCTAACTCCACACCAACCTCAAACACAGTAACAACGCCATCCATTCCCCCGGCACCCACTCTCCTCCCCTCATTTCTCTCCCAAGCCACCTTGTTCAGACTCCGGTTCATATAGCCCATTCCTGACTGCAACGCCGCAAAAGGCCCCCGTTTGTTCTCACTCGGCGAAACCTTCTGCACCGGAACCTCAACATCAACATTCAAATCCCAGATCTCCAGACTCCCCGCGCCGTCTACGAGCGCGAAGACCGAGGGTTTAGCCGGAGACCAGCGGACATCATAGACCAGGTCCTCACGCGCGATATCTAGGAGAGGAGTGACGATTTGGGACGCACCTGGGGCGGAGTGATTGCTAGCCCCACCAGTAGCGGCAGGTGGCCGGACTTTCCAGAGTTTGACGCTCCAGTCGACGCTTGAGGAGAGGACAAGGTCTCCGAGATCGATGGCGCCTTTTGCGGGATGGAAATCCAGACTCATGACTGGGGCTGCGTGGCCAGAGTATTTTACGCGGCCGTCTACGCCGGCTTTTGCGCCGGCGCGATCGTAGCGGTGGCAGGGGTAGATGGAACCTTCTTCTGTGCCGGCGAGGAAGTATGTTGGATCGGATTGCGGGAACGCGATGCATGTTACTGCCATGTCGTCTGTTTTTGCTGGAGGTGGTGAAGCAAGTTCGAGGAATTCTTGGGGTTGGGAGAGCATGTCGACAGTCCAGCCACAGACCACGCCGTCCGTGGAGCATGAAATGATATTATTCGCGTTTTGGGTTCCCACGATATCGAGAGAGTAGACGGGATGTGTGTGGCCGGAGCCTGTAAGTGGTGTCTTCTGGACTGGAGCGTATTTGGCCCGGGTGTCCCAAAGCAGGACTTGGCCTGAGTATGCACCGCCGATGATGAGGTTTGGATGAAAGGGTGAGAATTTCGCGGTCAAGATGTCGGATTGTGCGTGGAATATATACTCGGGACGGTCGTGCATGTGTAGATTCCAGACTTGGATGAGGCCGTCCGGGTCGTGGGGTGCGGAGGGATTCTTTGTGTAGGAAGCTAGGACGAGCTCTGGAAACTGTTGAAACTTAGCATCATCTTGATGATTACAGATTTGAGGGGGGATGGTGTCACACCTTGGCAGAAAACCCCAAATCCGAAATCATTCTCTTCTTACTCCACCTCTCGTCCCAAAACTGCGCAATCTCCTTTATTCTCCTCCCCTTCTTCCCACCCGTAGACCCATACCCTTCGTCTTCCTCATCCACCTCCACACCCGCCAGTGCATAATCAGCTAGAATATCATACTGCTGGTCTAGCGCCCTCTCCAATACCTTCGTACTCCTCTCCACAAAACTGAAGAAATCATCAGAGCTCTGCATTGCATTCAACTCCTCATTAGTCAACGTCTTGAACGGAAAATTCTCCTTCGACCCCGCCTGTGCTACGCCTGCATCCAGACCAGCTTGTTGTGCAGATTTGATCTCCTCCTCAATCTCCTTGCGCAGATTCATCCGAATCTCGTCATCCCTTTCTTTCTGCCTCCGACTCAGCCTCTTGCTCGCCCGCGGCGTCCGCGTCGGACTCTCATCTCTCTCCTCGTCGCTATCTCCCACACCCCTTGACTTCAGTGGTGACCATTCCGAGCTAGTTTGCACCCCCTTGTTGTACGTGATAATCTCCTTCTGGGGCTCCGCGTCGAATTCAAAGACGGTGGCGAGGGGCGCTATTGACAGGGTCTGCATTTCGCGGTCGACCATGCCCACTGCAGGTGCATACGATGACGTCTGCACTTCATTGTCGCTGCTCAGTTGTCCTGCACTAATCACAGACGTGGGCCTCGTTGCGCGGCCTCCGGCGGGCGATCCAGGGCCCGTAGAGCTTGGTCTGCTGTCTCTGTCGCCGAGGATGCCGGAGAGAATGGACTCAACGTCGCGTCTTTGCTCGGCACGGCTGGGGGTTGGTTGTGCTAGCTATGAAGCGCTGTTAGATGGTGATTGCGAGGAAACTGTATAGTGAGTGAGTGACGTACGTCTGAGGGAGAACTGAGTGACTGCCGACTCGTTGACGTTTCTCTCCGAAGCTCACGTTGCCGCCGCATTTCTGCGAGCTTGGCCTTCTTGGCGAGGATTTCATCGCGGCGTTGTTGCGCCGCGGAGTCCATGGTGAAGATGCGGATATGCGGACGGTTCAGTTCGATGAGGGGAAGCTATTATTGTTGTGGGCGTTGTTGAAAGTATCTAAACGGATAAAGCTCGTAGCCAAGGAGGGCTGGGTAGGCAGGCGGATATCTACCATTAAATTCCTTCAAGTCACCAGCAGCTCAGCGTGAAGGGGGAGAAGGAGTGCTATTGTTACCTTTGGTCGTCTCCAAAAGCTCGCCAAGGCCAGGGACAACAGCCCGCGCGCCAAGACAGGCCTGGGTAAGATTTCAATCGGGCAGAACCGCGTGCTCACAACCATCACCGTTTCCAGCTTCAATCCCAGGGCCCAGTCACCTCAGCTCTCCGCTCCACGCGCCGGAACACGCCATCGCCGTTACAGACCCGATTCCCTTGCCATTGGACACCCAGGAGCTTTCCAATTCCCACAGCTCTCGTCCTCTAACCTCCTCAGTCACTATGTCGACATCCGTCGGGATCAACGTACGTCCCAATGCAATGCGCTGCGGCCACCTCCCATTGAGCTCCCTCTGGCTCTCAACATCACATATACTGCAGCGTCACAGCTAACAGCGATGGAAAACAGGTCCTCCGATGGTCCGCGCTCGGATTCGGCGTCTTCTACGGCATCTACTACCAAGCCTCGATATCCTCGCGTGACAAGCTAGAACTCGCAAAACGCGAATATGCACACAAAGAATCCCTGATTTCGCAAGCCAAGGCCGAGTGGGCAAAACAACACTCTTCACTAGCGACATCATCTAGCGGTACGCCTTCCCTGCCAATGCTTGCATAAATCCCTCCTCTGCCTTCCCGGACGGTGCCAAGCGTAAAGATGTCGAAAAGAAGGGATCTGGTCAGACAACGGAGAACTATGCTGATGGATTTTCTTCTATAGCGAAAGTAGACCCGAACGATCCCAACGCCGACCTAAACGCAGTCCTCGGGATTACGGATGAGAAATGAGTGCGCGCCTAGAGTGAGCTAGGAGGAGAAGGGAGGTGGTTCCTTGTTCTGCATGTGCGATAAGGCTGGTGTACTGCGGGATGGTGACGAGAAGAACCGGAGGAAAAGCGACGTGTACCCCTGTATTACTTTGTGCCTACTGTACAACATAGACTTCGCTGGATGGGCACCTTTCAATATCAGACATAACGTAACTTACATTAAGCTTGGCTAGGGCAAAGGAGTGAGAGCATCGTTTTATTCTATATGTGGAAACACCATTTCTCGTATCGCATGATGCAAATGCTACTATACACCATTACTCAAGCCTCACCCCGACCCACCCTACCCCTAACAACCATCTACCTCCCTCTAGACTCGGTAGATGAAAAATTGAGCGGCAAACACCCACCACCAAGAATGGCAAAAGAGTAGAAAAGCTCACGAAACGTCCAAGCAGGCCTGCTGACGCCCGCAACATAAAATGGCCAAGCGGAAAGGCTGTCTTATGTACAATAATACCTTTACAACTTCTAAACCTACAACCGAGATCCTTAAGGACACGGCTCTATAGCACTTCGCCGACAATCTTAGCTGCCTCCTTGTAAGTCTTGAGCAACTTCTCGCACTTCTCGCGCTCGGCTTTGATGGTGTCGTCCTCGTAGAGGAGTTCCTGGAAAAGAGCTTCTTTATAGAGGGAGCTGACTAGTCTGTTCTGGACTACGTCTTTAGAGTGGTTGACAAGGAGGTGCATGACTGCCTTCGGGACTTGGTCTGCGATGGTTTCGCGAACAATATCGAAGTAGGACGAGATGAGACGGCGGATTAGCTCTGTTTCAAGAGCTTCACGCTCCGTTAGAGCGGGCGCCTCCACATCAGTGGGCTGTACATAGTGAGCGTTGTGGTTATAATCATAAAAGGGAACAGAACTTACGAAGCCGCCTTCAAAATCTTTGGTTGGGCTAGCCATATCGAAATCATCCGGTACCATTTCCAATACATGCGCAGGCTGCCTTGTATCACCCCTTCGGAAACTCTGCGCAATGCTGGGCTCAATATTCTGACTAACGTGTCGGCTTCCGGGGCGGTTTTCGAGAGCACTTTGTGTTGTTGGAGAAGCACTGGTCGGCGCCCCATCTTTACCAAAGAAATAATTCAGGAAGCTATCACGGGTAGATCCTGCACCACCAAGAGGGGGCGGTGATCTGTTACGGTTACCATTGAGAGCACCTGCCATACTGTAAGGTCCGTTCATCATGCGTCCTACTGCAGGCGACATACTGCGGCTTGCTTGTTGGTGATGCTTACGGAGGGGAAGTGGCTTGTCCATTTGCGGCACTTCACCCTCATCCTCATTGACGGGAGTGTCAGTACCATTGACACCGTTAAGCTCTCTCATCCGTCGCCTCTCGCGCTTCTTCCTCTCGGCGTCAATAGCAACTTTCCTTTCTCTCTCCTGTTTGTCATTAATGACGGAAGACATGGCGGCAGCGGCGCCAAGGAAGTTTGGATGATTTGTGTTGATGTATGCGCGTTGAATGTCGATCAACGATGCGACGTACGTAGAGCATGGGCCAAGCTGTTCTCGGAGGAGATCGGATACGACTTCAATAAGCTTGCCTTGAAGACGAGGATACCTGCTCAGCTCTGTCGACCCGCATGTATGGCAGATCTTGATGAGTTCCTCATACACCAATTCGACGCAGCGCTGACTTGGAATCTCAAGAAGCTTGATTTGAGGCTTCACAAGAAGGTCAAACGCGAGTTCTGGGACAAACAAGCTCGGGCGGGGACCGGTCGAATTTCGAATCGCAGTCCGGATATCAAGAACAGAGAGGTTTTGGGTGGGGTCGACTTGTTCTAGAGAGTTTCCAAAGACTGAGTTGAAGATATAGTATATCCTAGCACCTCCACAAAGTTCCTTCGTCGAAATCTCGGCGGATGTGCCATCAATCGAAGAGATGAATGAAGAAGCAAATCGAGTCATGAGCTGCAGTATAAGAGAGCCGCGATGCTCCTTTCCGGTAAACGCTACATCGCCATAGCTTGCAAGCTCTTGTTGTGTTTGTCCCATCAAAGTGTTCAACCGCGCCTTAATGTCTGGTAGCCGATCTCGAATGTGCGCCATCAGGGTCTGGTTGAGGCTTTTGGCCAAGAATTGCGTTCCACACCGATTTGCCATATTCCTGTATGCTGGGTGGTGTCTGAAGAAATCCCGTTCCGCGGACAGGGCGTCCGACAACGACTTGTTCCCCTGGATGTCTTGCTGAGAACGGTTCACGATGCCAATGAAACCAAGCTTGAGAGGGTACACACGCCCCGATAGTATGTCCAGGGCGTTCGTCCCGTGGTCCATGAGGTCTAGTTTAGTGAGGACACCGATTGTCCTCCTACCCATAGGGTCCACATGTCTGGCTAGCTTCAGAGCTTCCGAATTGACGAGATCAACGTTCGCAGGGGACACGGCGAGGATGATACTGTTCGGCTTTGCGATGTACTCTGAAATAAGGTTTCGAGTTTGTTTCTCGATGTCGGTAGGCTGGTCGCCAATCGGTACCTACCAATGTCAGGGGGGTTTTCTTTTTCTCCAGAGGAAACTGAATTACAAACCTTGGTCAAGCCGGGCAAATCGACTAATGTCAGGCTAAGGACATGAGGGGAGTATATCTTGAGGTTTATGGGCTGCCTGTTGATCCCCTTGTTGTTTCCTGCGATTCTCGCAGTCTCGGCCTCGATTTCACGCTTAACCTCGGAAAAGTCGTAGAAGCGGCGCCCCGGGATGTGATGAAATTCCGCCCATTCCTGTTGCCCTGCTACACTCGCTGGTGTATGTGGAACATGCACTTCGTCGTTCTCAGGTTTGTCGTCACGGTCGCTAGGGAGGTTTATGAGTTGGAGGATGAGAGGCCGCCTCGTTACAATTCCACTTCCCCGAGGCAGAAAGTCTCTGCCGACAATATTCTCAAGCACGGAGGACTTCCCTGAGGATTGTGATCCAACGACAACCTATGGTACAGTCAGCGTTCATCCCTTGTTGGCTGCGTCCTCGAGAGGGGCAACCGCACAATTTGAGGCAAATCCAGGGAGTCGTTTCCGATGGTGTTGAAGACCAGGTCTTGCAACCTGTTCACGATGCTGAGCAGCTCCTCGCCGAGAGCAGCCATTGCGACGATGCTGGCAGATGTTCGCTGTACTGTCCTCCTGATGACCTTGCTGGTTCGGAAAAAGGTAAACAGAGTGGACTCTTGGCCAAGGTCGAAGCCTCTGTGGAAGGCTGATACTAGAGGAAGGTTGTGGATGGCAACGGCAAATAAATGGCGAAGAAGGAATAGGTGACTATGTCCGGGCTCCGGTACAGGTCTAGCACCAGGACTCTTCACCTCTGGCACTTCGTCGTCATGGGTGTTCGTTTTCACGCGCTTCCAAGGTCGGTCCCTGTGGCTAGTGCCCAAGTCACGTGAACCCTAACCCTTCACACTCGCCTCAATGCCCTATCTCCTTAATTTCTCGGTTCAACGCGCTCATGCCATCTGCATAAAGGAGACAACCATCCACGCTCAGGCTTGTAATCCCAGGGCCTCTTGGCTATGGTGGTGTCCGATACAGGCGTCGACTTCCGAGTAGCCAGAGGTCACCCCTTTCGGTGTTGTCGGGAACCGCACGCGTTTTCGATCTGACATCCAGCATTGCCATGTTGGTAAGCATCTACATTATTGGCAAACTTGTGGCCAACGCCTCACACCTTCTGATGTGTGCCTATCTTTCCCGGCGCTGAAGGCAGCTTTAACTTGGAAGTGCAAAGGAAAAAAAAAGTACAACTTTAAGAGTATTATCTTTTCTAATTTACTCTGCTCTGTGTTAAATGTCCCTAAAATACAACCCCAAGTCAAATTAACTTTCTATTGCCGTGAGCGGCTTAAATTGTTAAAGGACACAAAGAAGGTGACGTTAATATTACAAGCGTTGCTTTCTCTAATATTTCGCTTCCCTGCCTCAGGCTTACGAAACCAGCATAATAGAAGCACAACAAGACGCGCAGGGCAGCTTAGGTAAATTTAGTTACAAAATATAATTGCATGTTGGGCGTAGCGTGTCGACAAACCAAAAGCTCTGCTTGGTCGTACAGTGGTCGCCCGGAGATGGTCGTCGGCGAATCAAGCGCTCAGGTTGATCGCTCGGTTTGACACTGATATTATGTCACCGTCCTCCGGCCGAATTGGGGTTGATCCTAGTATGACAAGCACTGTCTCTACTACTGTATGGAGCGAGTGAGGCGAGGTAGAGTAGGTCGGCTCTGTTTCAGCTATACTAGGATGGGGAGAGAAAGAAGTGAATGTTACGATATCTTACCTCGACTTTCCTATTGCTAGATGTCTTCTGACGATAACAGAGGGTCTTAGGGAAAGGGAGAAGGGTAAGAGATAGGGACAGAAGGGAGAGAGTCACGTAATACTTCTCTAACATATAACAGGGCAAGGAGGGTGTACAGTCCTCTATGCAATCTAGCTAGAAGTATAGTAAAGAAGAAAGTTAGTAGAAAGTAAAAGAAAGTAAAAATAGTAAAATAACTAAGTAGGTTTAGTTTTTTTATATAAAAAAAATCTTTTACACACTTTATATTAAAAAAATTATTAAATATACTACTATACTTAAGGTTGTGCTTTAAAGATAAGAATAACTACACTGTTTTAAATAGTAAAGAGAGAGTAAGACTAACGTACACCACAGGCAAGTTGCTCACACACCTAAGTTGCTTACTTTTGCTAAGACTCTACTAAACTACTCTTTCTACACTACTTAGGTGTAAAAGCCACTGTTACGCCCCTACCACACATCGCGGTCTACGGTTGGACTGATGGGGATTTCTGGGAAGTGCCCCACTCTCTAGACAGACAAGGATGGAACCCGTTTATGCTTGAGTGGGAGGAGGTGATAGGCCCGGACAAACAAGGTCTGGAACAAGCGGAATAGCCGCTAGGCAAGTGCCTTGTCTAATAGAGACATTAGCAAGAACGTGCGATAGCTCGTAAGAGATAGTTAGTAGGTGCTGCATCCTCTTGCAAGCCTAGGCTGGCTTCCGCGAGACTCTACAGTTACTAGCAACTATATAGGCTAGGTATAGGATTAACCTTAAGGAGGTGTAGTTGACGTTTAGTTTATTCTATATAGACTAAGTAGCATTCTAGCTTTTTAACAAGCTAAATACTAGTTGTATATCCTGCACTCTATATACCTCCTCTCCTGTTTACCTGAACTGTTTGACCTAGCGTCCTATACTGCTGTCAGAGGGCAAACCACGATCAGGCCTATCCTACCCCAGCTCCCTTCGAACACAGTGCCAGTAACCAGGCCGTACACCTGGAAGCACCGCACCTCTTTTCTCCGCTAAACCCAGTAAAGGCCCGCGTACTCGTAAAAAACCCGCGAGTAAGGATTATAACAGCAACTTGCCTATAGTATACGTTAGCTACAGCATGTTACTTTAAAAGTCTTATGTTTTATTTAAAAGCCTAAAGCGTAAGCTATATCTAACATTTTTTTAGTGCGTCTAAGTAGTGTTGCTAGAAATGCATTAGTGTAGGAAGAGTAGTTTAGTAGGGTCTTAGCAAAAGTAAGCAACTTAGGTGTGTAAGCAACTCGCCTGTGGTGTACGTTACTATGTACCTTTTAACTATTTCTTTTTACTTATAGTTTAATAGCTTTTAGAGAAATAGGAGTGTATTATAACAGAGACAAATTACTGCTAAGCCTTGCTTGTTAAGATTTATGCTTATATACAAAGCACAGGCCATGCCACCTCCAAACAGGTCAGGTGAGGCTATATTAGCCCGTTCTGGGACATCAGGCCTTACTCTCTAGGTGTGATTTCTTCCCTCTTTGTACTTATTACCACCTTTAGGCCTAATAACCTCCTAGCTAAGCTCGCTAGCAAGGTGTCTCCTCACAGCCATATCCGTCAAGGCGTGCCTTCTGGGTGAGAGATTGCTGAACCTCGCTAGTCTGCATATTCAGATGGCCAGATTGGTGAGCACCTTTAAGATATTCATCTTTAATAACAAGAGGGACAGCGTTAGGATTAAATCCACGCTTAATTGCTTGACCGTAGATACTATCAACAGTGTAGTTTAGTAGTCTAGTAATTGTAAGGACGGAGCTCTATACCACTGCGCCAATACAACCAAAAAGGTACGAATAATCAACCAACAGTTGATTATTGCGTACAGAATAGTATATATACCCGTCGCACGTAAGCGCCATCTCGGCCTTACAGTAATTAAGATGACCTGTTGGGCAGTTTTACCCCTAGATGGCGATTTCAGGGCAACAACTAAAGCTTGAGTAGCGATATTGTGATTATGCGATATAGACATGAAATAAATCGTAGTGTAGCTGGAAATCTATTGAAATTTGTTCGGAATGAGGGACTAAGAACCTCTGAGTTTTGTGCCAAGACCGTGGCGTTTTTAGCGTGGGCAAAGACTTTTGTAAGGCTTATTCGCAGGTAGCTGAACTAATGTCATGGCTGCTCTGGAGGCTCCACAACACCCTTCTGCTGTACCACCACCCAGGCTTACAGGCACACATCAGCCTGCCGGAGGAGCTACTTCCAGCTCCAGTAGTTTCTAGTGCAGGATCCCAGGGCCTATAAAGAAAGAGAGAGACTCCGGGTAGAAGAAGATATTAGACACTATTAGAACGTACTATGCACCGGCGACCAAGGTAGATTGACAGTTAAGATTTTCCCCTGCTAGACCCAAACGATAGCGGATGTGTATCTTTCTTGCCTGATTCAGCTGATCGCAAAGTCAGCGTGTGTTTAGGTCTGTGGGTTGTTAGCCACAAGGTTTATGGTACCAGATATCAGAAATTTTTAAGCGCCACCCTACTTATTGGGGATAATACTCATGGCTACCGATCAATAAGTCTCTTCAGGGGATAAAGAAGGGTAATAAATTTGGCAGTATTCTTTCCTGGAAACGAATATGGCATGTCAACAAATGCTTTGGAGCATATGTATGGAGGAATGAATATATTCAGTATTTTGCTCAAATGAAAAGGGTGTTCAAAGGAAAGGCAATTTTGTTTCGAACCAGGCCTTTGTGCTAACATGCAACATCACATAGAAGGACTGTCTATAGACAGCACGCTGGTATTGGTGGTTCCTGCTTTATATACATGATCATGGACAATCCAGAGTCCAAGTATACCAACCAAGATCCAGTTCACCATATATTCCAAAGAGGTCACCGTGGTGGGTAGAAAGAACAGAACCTGACCCTACTCACTATATTTTGGGCATTACTGTGTGTCCTACTAAGTCATCATAAGCTTCCGTGTTCGTCAGCTTTCTGCTGAGGTGTCGATGAAGCCATCTATCTAACTCCCCACTGTGAACCACTAGACACAGCCTTACACTACCATAGTTTAATGTCGCCCCAACCACACAAGATGCAGGGAAACGCATTGTGAAATCTCACTTGGCCTTTAGGTAGACGGCGCATCGCACAGCTCATCACAAGTGGAAGCCGGGTTGAGGATGTTGCCAGCAAGAGGGGTTGGCTAGTTTGAAATGCAACGCTTTAGTTGTTTGCCGATGTCGAGACTTCAGTTTTTTCGGTGCCTAAGATGAGGTTTTTTTACGTTGTCACCCACATTAAGATTTCTCAAGTGGTGCGGAGAGCAGGAAACTGCTCCCAACTAGCAATCTAACTCTAAACTCTACGAATCTTTGTGCAGGGCGAGCTATTCCCTGAGCTCTGGAGATCTACTGAGGCGGAGCATGGCTGCGGACTTTGGTTCAAGCAAGGAAGCTTTCAAGGTGAACACCCCGCTCAGCCTGAATGCATCAGCCAGGGTACAGATCGAAGGCTTAATGGCGCTGATAGATTCGAGATTTTGGCTATATCAAGAATGATTATGCGGCTTACGCCACAACGAGTCTCACTCCATGTCGAACCTGACTCATCAATTGGCAGGTATCGAATATATTGACTTTGCACCTCGAGGTGTAATTTTGTCCACTACTAGAATGACAAACTGTACAAAGCGCGACTGTCTGCGCTAGACAAGAAGAACCCTGCACCAACACATTGTCGCCTCCCCATTTCAGACCCCACCATGCTGCAACACCATCCCAGCCACTTTCATGCTTCATGCCCAATTTCATGCATCAGAAAGCTAATCACTCAACATCATACACTCCACACTATCCAATGCTAAACTCCATCGTTGATAAAAGTAGACATGCATTTTTTTTTTAGTTGAGGTATGCCATCGCTGCTACGGCACCGAAGATGAGCGCCAGCGGGCTGGAGCCGAGAGTCGAGGCTGCACCGGTGTTCCGTGGAGCACCGCCCCCGGTGGTTGGGCTGCCACTAGTGGATTTCGCACCGGTGGCAGAGGCAGAGCCGCTAGAGTGAGCGGTGCTAGAGAGCGTTGGGACGGAGATAGTGCTGTTGCCGCCAGCAGACGAGGAAACCGAAGCAGAGGCAGAAGTGGCGAGGGTAGAGCCGCTCGACTTGGCAGAAGATGCAGAGGTGGTGGATGAAACAGATGAGACCGCAGAGGAGCTGGCCGAAGCAGTGCTGCCAATGACCTTGATCAGGCCGGTGAAGTTTGGGTCGGCATTGCCTTGTTGAACCTCAAGGGCGTAGTCGTCACCATTCGCGAGGGATGGGTCAACGGTCCACTTGAAGGTACCACCAGTGGCAGACGCTATGATCTGGGTTAGAATGCTACTATTGCGATGCGCAAGTTAACAGCATGAACTCACTAGTCAGCGTGCCAATAGTCCCCAGGGCCTTAGGGTCACCCTTTCGGAGGATAAATGTCGTTGCGGCGGTGCCTGCCGGAGAGTATTTGATGTCGTAGCTCTTGCCAACCTCAACAGTGGAAGGGTAAGAGTCGATGGTCAATCCAAGGGTAGCAGACACAAGGGCCGCGCCAGCGAAAATGTTGGAAAAGAAGCGCATGTTGATTATAGTATTTGACGGTGATTAGAAGTTTGTGTTTATTACAAATGTATATGGCGCGTTGAGATGTAAAGAGTGAACGAGTGTGGTAAGCCTTGTAGAAGACTCAAGAAGGTAGATGGGTAGTGATTGATATGGGAAGAGAGGGAGAGAGTAAAGGGGAACCGAAAATAAGTGGGAGGAAGAGGCAATTATGAAAGCTTGGGGCGCAGCTGACAATTTACGAGGTCCCCCGGCTGAAGGAGCGCCAGAGCAACGGCAGGAATGAACACGGTCCTTTCCACATCAAATTGGATGCTCGAACTGGCTAAGTTCCACATGGATGGCTAATGAGGGTGAAGGTCACTGCACCAATCGCCTCAGGACCCAATCAGAACGGAGCTCGTTCACGATGCCGACCACTGGAGATCCTGGCACCCTGGGCATCGCATTCTAGCATCGAGCCCAGCCTATTGCTGCTCCTTTCCATCTCATGAAGCACAAGAACTCGTCTAGGAGGGCCAGAGCCAGTTGCATTCACGCCATTGCTCAGGCGCACAAGAACGACCGCGCTAGTCCATTCGCGGATTAGTGCTGACTGCATGCGGGTTCGAGAACGATGCCACTCAATAATCCGGGGAAGGTTCAGGGGCTTGGACCCAGCTTTTTTAACATCTCACGATTCATTAAAAGAGTTCAACGGCGCGTGCAGCTCTTGGGAAGGCTTTTGCCTCAATCTGCACACCATGACGTGTGACTGTGTTTATTGAAGTACTGTAAATTTGTAAATAGCGATCTAATTTTCTGGCCATGTGACTTTCACATTCCTTGTCGCCTTGGCAACAAGTTTCGTGCCAGGGCCTTTCTTGACGGAGAACCACCTGTGCAACTAAGGATTGGCTGTTGGCATGTCAGCGTCTCTTCTATCTCGCATCTGCATCCTCAAATCTTAACTTGATTAGTGCGTTCTTAGTAGGAGGACCCTCGCATTCGGAGATGGTGGAATCCACGGAAGATCGCTCTGTTAATTAGCGAAAAGGCAATTTCCACTTCAGGTTGCGAGATGAGGCCACGAGCGATAGCGCCAAAGCAAACATGCGGCTTGAAGGCGTTCCGCGCTAGTCAGAGCCTCATGTGGTTGAAAAGGAGACTAGGACAGGAGTGGGCCGAGGGTGTCACAACATATCTTGCTGCTGAAACAGTCAGTCCAGTCGAAGTACAACATAGCACTTACTCGGAAACATGGCCTGGGATGATTGGATCAGTTGAGTCTCTTGCTAGACCTGGGGGGGCATTAACAGGATGCAGACTTCTTCAATGCGCAGACGCTACTCGAGGTGCTGCGTTGGCGATGCGAACTTTTATTATTCCCAGTAAGTCCAAGATAATCTCGAAGGCCATCGCTAAACGCCATAACATCGGTACCAGGACTGCCATCCAACCACCTAGAAAGAAAATGAAAGGAGAGGAAAGCAAAAAAGGAAGAGTGGGGAGTGGGTGGACCTTTCGCCGCAGTGAATAATCTCGAGGACTTGCTTGATGGAATGGAATAGCCCGGAAAGAAGATGGCGAAAGCCCGTAAATGCCCAACCGAATCCCTTTAGCAAGAGTGAACCCGCCTAGGTGTGAAGCACTTATATGTAGTCATCATTCAAGCCCCTTCTCAACTATGTACTCGATGTCGTTAGCATTAGCGATGATGTCGGCCTGGTCGTTGGAAGGAGAATTATCGAATAGCGAGGTCGACATCTCCTACTTGACCTCGGGAGCAGCTGCTTTGCCTTTCTTTCCCGTCGGTTTTAGATTAGCCTTGGCTTTGTCTTTGGGTGAGCCATTGGAGGAGATCTTTGCCTTCTTTGGTGTTACCTGTGTGGTGGGGTTACCCTCCACTGCGGCAGCGCCTTTAACCAGTGTTAATTAGTAAGCTCCAGGAAGAAGGGGAGCATACTTCGCTTTTGGGTACGCTGAACAGCCTGGAATGTCTCCCCAGCGTCAACTCGTGCCTTGTACTCTTTCGCATTGCGGAGAATAGCGCGAAAGTCGTGCTGGAACGCGCTTGCAGTCTTCACGCCATCGATAGCGGATATCATCTCGTAGTGCTTCATAGCAATGCTTGTAACCCCAAGGCCACTAAGCAGTGCCGCGACGACTTGGGCCGAATACATTTTGCTCGTACCCCCATTACCGTTAGACTTACCCATTGTTGCTGACTTGGTTAATGGTGCAGTGGAGTGAATATTGCTGTATCAGGGCCCAGTTGGTTCATATGGAGACGAGAAGTCGAATGTTGTTGGGCGTGATGGAGAAGAGTGTTGTATAAGAGAGAGAAAGTTGATACAGGAACAGAAGCGGGGACTTGATCAAGATAAGCGGCGTGAGTGAAGGTAAAGGTAGAGTCAGATAAGAGCCGGTGAAAGATGAAGAGTGGTATGATGGGAAGTGTGGATGGTGAAAGTGAACTCAGCGCTGCCAACAGGAAAAAGTACATATATGTACTACGTGAACATAGCCGTCACGTGAGCAGTACAAAGGTAGTAACTTTGTAAGACGTTACTTACAGCTGGGGAGGCCATGGTTATGTGCCGTAGTACGTCTTACAACTTCTATTTTTATAAGCATTTGCTTTGTATGTAAGACCTAATTAGGCATCTGTAAGCTTAAGCTTATTTTATTTAAAAAGAAACTATGCTTATTTTTAACTATAAGCGCTATATTTTGTTTCTCGTTTATATAAACAACATACTTTATATTTATTATAATAACAATAAGTTAGAAGCTTATTAATTAATTAATAAAATTAAAAAACATATAGTTAAGCTAAAAAAATTAAAGGCTATAACGTACCTAACGGGTTGGCCGGCCACACAGGTTGGCCGGCCACTTTTGCTAAGCCCCTACTAAACTCTACCTATCTACATAATGCCTTAACAACAACACTAGATTAAATCTTCTAAAAAATGTTAAATACAGCTTACTTTTTAGGCTTTTAAATAAGACTTAAAACTCTTTTTACAACACGCTGTAGCTATCTATAACATCTTTTACACAACACTAAGTAATTAACACACTAGACAGCCTTTATAAGTAGAATGCTAGCCTAAATTAAGGAATCTAACTAAGCTTAAAAAGAAGGTAGTTGTTAAGTACATACTTAAGCTTATTACGCGCAGATTTCTTTTTAGGCTTACAGCTATAGCTAATATAGCTAATTCCTTGCCTATAAAGCGCAATTTAGGCTAGGTTAGCTTAAACTAGACTAGTATATAAGTTAAGCACTACTTTAAGTTTATAATAAAGTTTAATTATAAGTATAATTATAAGAGAGTGCTTTATAAGAATCTAAAGGTTATTTAGAGCTAGTTTTGCCTAGTAGCTAACATAAAAGCTAAGTATAGTATCTAGAATAAAGATAGGTATAACTTTAATAAGTTAAGCTTTATAATAAGCTAAATATTAACTAAAGCAGTTATTATAGCTTTAAAGAGATAAAGACAGCTAAAGGTAATATAGTAAAGTAATAAAGAGTAGATAATAGTTATCTAAAGCATTAACATAATAAAGTAGGCTATAAAATTATAAAGCTTTAAGCAGTAAATAAAGCTACTATATAACATAGATTACATAAAAGAAAGCAGATTTAGGCAAAAAAAACCTTAATAGTTAAGGATAGAGCTTGTTTAACTACTCTAAAGGAGTTTAAAGCGCGTAGTAATAGGAAGAAGCTAAAAACATAAGTGCGCGCTAAAAGAGGTAAGCTAAGTTAAAAGTAATGCAGGTAGTGTAATTAGACTAGGCATAACTTATATATATATAAGTAAGTAGTAGAAGTAGACTTTAAATAATATCTTATGTTATATTACTTTATATAAGGCTAAAGTAGGCTGTTTTGCGAGAGAATAGGGTGGTTTTAGTAGGGGCTTAGCAAAAGTGGCTGGCTAACCTGTTAGGTACGTTATAAATAGTTTTTAAAAATTAAAATAATTAGAAATAAAAAGGCTAAAATAATCTAGCTAGTACATAACATATATATTAAAAAAGTAGTAAAGAAGTTTAACTTTATAAAAAGCTGTTACAGTCTATAGTTAGACTAGCGTAACCCCACCTGCGGTGTTCCACAACCTAACTACGTTAGAACAGAGCTTAATTATAAACTAGTTAGAGAACACAGAAGCAGCGTAGCTGCCTAAGATTATAAAAGAATGCATTATCTAATAAACAAGTAGCTAAGACAAGTTCTTACAAGTTCTAATAAGCTTACTAAAGGAACAGTAGTAAGAGCTTATAAGAACTTACACTAACTTGTTCTTAGCACTATTAGACATGTATATAGTCTTAGCTTAAATAAACCTTTAGAAGGTGTGTTTAATATTTAGTTTATTTTTTACATAGACTAAGTAGCATTCTAGCTTTCTAATAAGCTATAATACTATTTATATATCTTGCAACATATATACCTCTAATTCTATCTAACAGAACTGTTTAACCTAGCCACTATACTGCTGTATAGGTACAAACCACGATCTAGTCGCCCTACCATCCTCCACCAGCCTATTAGCCATCACGTAGGACTGTACACCCTACTGTCGGCCCCTGAACTCCGCCCTGCCTCAAGGAACTATCGACTCGAGTGCTTCTAGAAAGCAAGGATTGTAACAAAAGCGCGCTATTTTTAAAGACTTTTTTACTATTAGAAAAGCTTATACGTAACTAAGAATTAGTATTAAAGCATAAAATTAAGAAATACTAAAAGTGCGTAGAATTAACACTTTACACTATAATTATAGTGCGTCTTAATGTAGTGTTTATAGCTTTCTAGCTCTTTTACTACCTAATAAACTGTCACGGTTAACTTAGACATGCCTTAGACTCTCTCTAGAGAGCCCTCAGCCCAGCCTTAGGCACATGACGTCCTGTCACGTGCCCCAGCACATATATATATATATCCTCTCACGAACCCCTGAGTCTCCTCAAGGATTCGTCTATTAATACTATCCTGTATCCTTTTCTGCGCTTCATGCTTCCTGCTTCACAGTGCTCTTACATAAACCTAGAAAAGTAGCACTTCTAGGCAGTAAACTAGGCAATTATATACCTATACTACATAATGTATACAGGCATATAGTATAGAGCACTAGAAGGCGCGTAACTAATTATATGTAAAGATACATTTTTACTAATTATATAAAAACTAAATAATTATCTTATAGATATATTATCTTACTTTTTAAAAAACTAATTTTATAGAAATTAGCTTTCTAGCTAATAGTAACTATATTTATAATAAAAGCTAAGCTACTTACTTTAGCACAAATTATAAAAACATTACTAGCTTTAAAACACTTCTTTAAAAAGTTTATCTTAGAGCTAGGTATACTGTAGTAGATCTACTATAATAACTAGCAGATAATCTAGTTAGTAGTAGAGAAAAACGCCTAAATAACTACCTACCTGCGCTACATTAATATATAGAATATATAGCTGCGCTAGAAGCACATTAAATAATCTTTTAAAGTGCGCTATATTAAAATAAGTAACATGCTAGTAAATAAACTTATAAAGCACTTACTAAAATAGTAGTTTAAGCACTTTAAGTAGCTTCTTAACCTTAAAGACATATAAAAGAGCTTCTATAAAAAAATATTAATTATTAATAGTAAAAACACTCTTTTATGTTATAAAGTTTAAGTAAAGATTTAGTATATAAAATGCATAAAAATATAAAAGCTTAAACTATAAAAAGATTAACAAGCTTACTTAAGAGCTTCTTAGCGCGCTAGCAACGCGCTAGGAGCCTAGGGGAAACGTCACCCTGCTTCACCTCTACCTCCTCCTCTTCCACCTTCTCCTTCTTCTTATTCTTCTCTACTACCTTCTTTACCTCCTCTACTGTATCTTCTTTAAGCAGAGCTTAAATAACTAGCTAAAGCTAAGACACATCTTATAGCCTATTAGTCTAATCTAAGGTATAACATATAATCTCTGTAGAGAAGCTTACTTATTTATCCTTTACAATAAGAGCTGCAACAAGACGCTGCGCCTAGATAATAGTAATAAGGGGACTATAAATAAGTTAAAAGCTAGATTACTCTACACGCTACTATAAGGCTTATAGAGGAAGGTAGCTGTGCCTAGAGGAACAGCGCTAGCAGCGTAATCTGCTATTAGTAGAATTATAGCACTTCTTATTAAAGCGCCCTATAAGCGCACTTTTTATGTAGCCTAGACAAGACTGCGCGCGGAGCGCACCAGGGGGAGGCCAGCAGGGAGTTGAGACCGGACCAGGGAGCGGGCGCCGGCGGGGGGTGGTAGGCGCAGGCTCGCGGGGGGTAGCGTACCACGTCCTGTTGGCAGCGCTGAGTGAACTGGGCCTTCGTGACCGATCTTGCGGACTTTGTGGGCGACGACAAAGCCTGTTGGAGCTAGTAAATGCGTAATGATCCAGCGGCACATTTTGCTGACGATTCCGCTACGCCCTTAGCCTAGAAACTACGAAAGAAAATGTCAAAGATGAAAGGGAGCCATAAAATGTAGAAGGGTAGCGGCTATTATTCAGAAAGACCATTTTCAACATTCCATCCACTCTCGCCAGACCCGAGCGGTACCTGCTATACAGACCGACATGTTGGGGAGACAGACGCTTCCACTCTGACAGGACGGAAGCTGCACTAGAAATGATTCTTAGGCAGTTTGCTAGCGATACTAGTTGGGGCTACCCTTGATATCGTTGGGACTACATCCGACTCCATATTAGATATAAGACCTCCCACCGTATTTAATACTGCATCCAGTCCGCCATCTCCATGAAAATTTCCCTCTGACGTGGCATGGCCCGGGCGACAAAATCATCCACGTTAGGACCCAACTTTGACTCCAGATCAGTGACTATTTCATCATACTTCTTTTTCACACTCTTTGCAAACGCGCTATTCTCTCCATGGCTCTGAGCGGAGACGTTTTTAACCTCGATAATGAGCATGAATGCGATTAACGAGAAGTCCACGCTGGGTTGCGCCAATCCCATGGTACCTTCTTGGCTCGCCAGATACAAAGTCAACATTGCCGTTTGCCATGTTTGAACCACGCGGATGGGGTGTGCAACCTCGGGATAGAGCTTTGGCAGAATGTATCTATATCGTTTCGCGCACTGAGGAAAGGCAATTGGGAAGTTTCCCACAGTAAGCATGTTGACAATCAGGTCATCCCGGAATGCAGCATACGGCTGTCGATACACTGGCCAGAGTCCTGATTGATGGCATAACCGCATCCCATCTTCGATACCTTTTACAGCCTGGTGAGGATCCGTCATCCGTTGCACGTCTTCATAACCAGCGAACGCCTTCCCTTGGAGGGCCGCGACTCTCCTCTCCTCCGGAGATTCCCCGACGTAGTTCGCCGGGTCTTGCGCGAAGTTCTCATTCTGGACAATGATGTCTGCAACCTCTTTCCATTTCTGGGCCAAATTGCCAGGTTGAATGGTCCAATTGTCTTCTTGGAGAGTCGGGCCTTTCTGGCATTTGCTGCATTTGCATGTAAAGAACCAACGTGCTTTGAGTTCGCTCTGGCGTCGGGAGTAGGGATTAGTGATGTCGATGTAGGAGACAACTATTTCTTCATCCTTCTTGATGGGTCTCAAAGCGCGAATTGCAACTTCCGGCCCATCCATGACAACGAAAGCATTGGGGTCGCAAGAGTGGTTGATATGGCAAAGGTATGGGTCAATCATGATACCTAATGGGTCGAATGTTGGTGTGACTACGGTCAAGGAATTGGTGAGAACCTTGGCCATCATTAGGGACGGTTCTAAGAGAAGGGTTGTAGCACGTACCCGAGCGTACATGCCTGCAACGAAATCCTTGCTAAACGTATCCTGCGTGAACGATAATTGGCTTGTGCCTAGCGCCATCAACTCAATTCCTCCATACTTTCCATTTGCCTTGAAGTCTTCGATGTGCGTATCGAGGCAACAGAGCAGTTCCCAAGCGTTGTCGGTAATGAGCCCGTGTTTCCGCCTAGTCAGGATCTCCATAGTAGCTATAACAGCTTTCGGAACGCTCTTGTCATTGACAGACCTCAGGTTCTTACATTCATGCTTGTGTCCTTGATTCCAAGCGTCGTTCTGGCAATCCTGCTGCTGTCTTAGCAAACCGGATACTTAGAGTGAGAGGGAGTACGATCAAACCTTACTACAATACCTAAACTTCTTACACCCAGCACAAGTCTGTACTTTGGTGCCTTCTTTAACATACAACCTGGACCCGATACCCGACCCCTCAGTCCAAACGTAGCAGTGCGCACATGTGTCGATCAAACGCTCTGTGTCTAGACTGCCTACTAAAGGTCTGTTGAGAGTAAAAATATGCGAGCCGGGTTCGTAGTTTCCACCAGCGAAGACGCCATCTCCAATGCACTTGCCCGTAGAATCGACGCAGATCTCTGAACGGGCAAGGTAAAACGGCGTGCTTGTGCCCGGTGGGTATTTAGGCTCCGAGGATGATGATACCATTATGGATGGGAGGGTAGGGACTAGTGGGGAGCAAAATGGGGAGAGTGTTGAATCGAAGGGAGCGGAGAATGGTTGATCATAAATACGAGGGCTGACACAAAGTCCAGTCGTATATCGTCATTTGAGCCCTGTGGCGTCTCGCAGACAGCCGCGTGGAAACACGAACTACCCTAAGCGATATAATGCTAGCCCTTTTTAGATTAGCGCAAAAGGAAAACCCGAAACACCTTTACCAAGGGTGTTTACTTACCTAGCCGCAATTTAACTACTTAATGTCTAAACAAGTCTATGTAGGACAATATAAATCTTAGTTACAAAGCCTATTACAACCTAGATACATAATCTATTGTACACCATGTAACTGTTACGACCTACGATTGGGCCGTAAGCTACCACCCGGTAATGCCCCACTGTTTGGACGAACAAGGATGGAGCCCTTATGTCACCCCACCGCGGGAGGAGTTACGTGACTTGATGGACGAGGAATGGATAGCTATAATAGGCTAGCTAGCGGACGAGTGTCTTGTCTAATAAAGGGGTAGTAAGGGAGCGCAAGGGAGCGCAAGAGCGCGCAGGTGCGTGCTGCGCTTACTTACAATTACCTATAATTACCTATAATCACCCCTTAGGGCTTTATGTATATAGCTAGGACAGCAGACTAAGTATAAAAGGTATAATTAAAGTTTAGTTTATCTCTTATATAAACTAAGTAGCGTTACTACTTTATAAAAAGAGTAATACTATTGTTACAACCCACGATTGGACCGTAAGCAACCAATTAGCGGTGCCCCACAGTTCGAACGACCAAGGATGGAAAGTCCTTAAGCCCGTCCTAGACAAGTCACGTGACAGAACAGATAAGGAATAGCTTCAGCTTTTAGACAAATGCATAGAAGGATGCGTTATCTAATAAAAAAGGTTACCTTGCATGCACAGGCATGTAAGTAAATGCACACTAACAAGTCTTAGTATAAGCATGCAAGCGCCTGCAATTGCATGCTACTAAATGTATATAGTTTTAATTATGCTTATAGTTAGAAGGCTGTAATTACTATTTAGTCTTTACCTACTTAATAAACTAAAAAGCATTAAAACTTTTATAAAAAGGACATTGCTGCCTTGTATATTTTACTCTATATATACCTCTTTTCTTATCCTTTTAGATTAGGTTTGCTAGCTCCCTATACAGCTGCTAGGCCAAACCACAACCTGCCTTCCTAATCCCCACCTTACCTATACTCTGCTTAACAGACTGTACACCTAATCTAGCTAAGTCCTTCCCCTTCTCTCTAACATTATTATAGGCTATAGTGCTTCTAAAAATACTATTTTAATAGAGTAAGAATTATAACAGTAATTACTACTACCTGTAAAGTATAGCTACTACTACCTTACACATTAGCATAACAGGCGCCTTAGCTGCTAGCACTAGCTAGACCCTTACAGCAACTAAAAAGGCACAAAACTAATAAATATTGTATCTCTATAATAAGCTAGAACAGCTTAAGCAACACCTCTAGTAATAAGCATAATAAGGGTTCTTAAATATCTACTAGCTACAAGCCCTTTAGCTAGAAGTAGCTAACCTTAGAAACATAACATAAGAAAAACCCTAGTATTAAATTTAAAAAGACACTACACTTAGCCCCTCTTAAGGCATTTAACAGCTCTGCTAAAGACTTAAAACTCTTCTTTATAAAGTGCTAACTCTACATGTAATATAATAAAAGTGCCTTTAAGACTAATAAAGAAATAATTTTATAAATAAGCCTATACTTAGAAAGATTACTTACTGTATAGTTTTAACTACACACTAATAATTAGATAAACTATTAAATAAATAAGAAACTCTTACTACTAGAAACATAGAAGGTCTTTAAAGACATTAATTTTTTAAAGTAGCCTTAACTATAATTTATAGGCTAGTTAAATAAAAAAATAAGCAGTTAATAAAATAAACTTTTTATAATAAAGAAAAAGCTTAGTCTAACACTATGCAGCCTACTTTAGAGAACTACTAGCTATCTGCAGATAGACAGATTAGAGAGTAATAGAATAAATGTTTTATAATAAGCTTTTAGATATAATTAAAAATAAATTTACTTACATAAACAAGCTTAAAAGCTTTAAGAAATATGTTAAAAAAGCACTTACTTATAATAAAAAACATGCTAAGTAACATAAAGAGAAAAAAATAGGTGTAATAACTTTAAAACTTAATTAGTTCTAAAAAAAGAAAGAAACTTTATAGTTTAATAGTAAACCTATAGACCTTAGTTATACTAAGTAACGTACTTCACAGGCGAGTTGCTTACACACCTAAGTTGCTTACTTTTGCTAAGACCCTACTAAACTACTCTTCTTACACTAATGTATTCCCCACAACACTACTTAGACGCGCTAAAAGAATGTTAGATATAGCTTACGCTTTAAGCTTTTAAATAAGACATAAAACTTTTAAAGAAATGTGCTATAGCTATGTGCAAAGTTTTATAAAAAATAATAAATAACTATAGCACTAGACAACTTTTACAAGCTAATTCTATAGCTAAATTATAAAGGCTAGGTAATAAAAAGAAGTAGGTAATTATTAAGACTATACTTAAGCTATATGCATAAGGAATTTCCCCTTAGATAGCATTTATAGCTAATATAGCTAATTCTTTGCGCGCTAAGCATAATCTAGGCTATGTTTACATAAACTAGCCTAGTATGTTTATAAAGCGTTATTTAGAGCTTAAAGTAACATTTAAGCGTAAGTATAACTATAAAAGAGCTTTTTATAAGAGTCCTAGGGTAATTTAGAGCAGGTTTAGCCTTATAGAGAATATTAAAGCTAAGTATAGTATCTAGAATAATAACATGTACAACTTTAGCAAGATAAGGTTTATAATTAGCTAAATATTTTTTAACTATACTTACGCTTAAAACTTTACTTTAAGCTTTAAATAACACTTTATAAATGTACTAGGCTAGTTTATGTAAACATAGCCTAGATTATGCTTAGCGCACAAAGAATTAGCTATATTAGCTATAAATGCTATCTAAGAGGAAATTTCTTGTGTATATAGCTTAAGTATAGTCTTAATAATCACCTGCTTCTTTTTATTACCTAGCCTTTATAATTTAGCTGTAGAATTAGCTTATAAAGGTTATCTAGTGCTATAGTTATTTATTATCTTTTATAAGACTCTACACATAGCTACAGCACTTTTTTTAAGAGTTTTATGTCTTGTTTAAAAGCTTAGAGTGTAAGCTGTATCTAACATTCTTTTAGCGCGTCTAAGTAGTGTTATAGGGAATACATTAGTGTAGGAAGAGTGGTTTAGTAGGGTCTTGGCAAAAGTAAGCAACTTAGGTGTGTGAGCAACTCGCCTGTGAAGTACGTTATATATATAGCTTCTCTAAAAAAAAAAGCAGTTTCTTTAAAAGTATAAGCCTACCCTTAAATAAGAAATAAAAGAAATAGCTTAAGAAAAAAGCATACTTTAACTATAAAAAAGTAGGCTACTTCTGTTAGAAATATCTAGACTCTAAGTAACTAAAAAATAAAAATGTTAGGTTAGCTATAAAAGCTATATATGCTAATAGAGGCTTAATAACTAAAGAAATATATAACAGGCTTAATAAAAGACTTTACTAGAGATGCAAAGCTAACTACAAGTCCTTTAATTATTTAGTAGACTATTAGAAGGTAGAGGTTTAAAAGAGAGATAGTATCTCTAGGGCTATTAAATAAGCTATAGTTCTTAAAGGATAGAAAAACCTAATGTAAGTAGTTAACTACATTAAAAACATAAAAAAAAAGATACTCTTTTTAATAAAATAAAATAAGCATTTTACTAAAAAAGCTTAAGTAATAGTTTAAGTAAAAGAACTACTAGAAATATAGAGGTACCTATAACTATAACCTCTGCAGAATAGGACTTTATAAAGTAACTTTAAATAATAACTATAACTGTTGAATAGGCTCCGACAGCTAGCTGCTTATAGTATGAGCACTTAAGTAGCAAGAGTAAGAGTGGTGTACGGTGTGCACAGCGTACAAAGTAGGTAAAGTAAGGGTAACATGTTTCTAGTTCTATTACTCTTGTCTTTCCTCTGTATAGAGGAAAAGGGGGATATCTAGATGTTTACGCACAGAGGTTTGCGCATAAGCATTATGTAACATTAATACGTGATCTTGCTTGTGCGCGATTGTTTGTATCTAGGCCGCGACGCTGCTGCTGTGTACAGACACTAGCAACTTTTCTTTTTATCTAAAGAGTTACCTTCTGTACGTGTTACCTCCCTTCTGTCTATGTAGGTCTATCTAATTACATTCTGCTTTTACTCTACCCCTATTTGTTAGGACTTGCTTTAGTAATGCTATGCATTAGAATAGGCTAGTTGTGCTATGTAAATAGCTCTTTTTTTTTTTTTATTTTTTACTTTCTAAGCCTTACTGTACAATCCCCTAGCTCTTTTCTCTTTTTATACAGTGCTAGCAGTAACAGATCCTTATAATAAGAAAGATAAGTATGTATAATATAAAAAAAAATAAAACAAAAAGAAATAAGCTTTATATAAAAGCGTTATTAGTCTAGTTAGTCTAAGGCATTTTTGCGCACAGGATCTAGCTAGTCCACAGATGCTTCTATTTAGACAGAGAGGTAGTTAGTTAAGACTAATAATTAAAAAGCCTAGTTTAGTGTTTTCTTTATACATGCATCTACTAAGTTATTTTTACTATTAATTTACTTAATCTTAGTAATTTCCCTTTTTTTATATAATTTGCAGAGTAACATAATGTTAATTATAAGTTACTTTTTACTAGTAGTGCTTAGCTTAATAAGGCAATTATATAAAGACTTTAAATCTATACAGATTACTACTAGAATTAGTAGTAGTTTAAGCATTTATATAATTTACTATAAAGTTGTACTAAAAGTAATTATATTATTAAACCTTTTAACTATTTTATATAGTTTACTAGTAAGAACACTCTTAGTTACTCTTTTACACTTAGTAGAATTCTAGTATATAATGTTGCCTAGTATTTTAAAGTAGTTACTTTACTTTATATAGTTCTTATTACTTAATATAATTAAAAATTC